CTTTTGATTCTAATATTTACATCTCATAAAAAAAAATTATCTGGTTTTCATCTCCCTTCGTTCTGGGATTTCTTCCATTCAGCTTACTTCCTCCCAGTTAAATTTCAACGGGGCCAATCAGTGAACAGAAGGCAGAGTTGTGAACTAAGATGTTGATTTTCTGCGATGTTTTAGAATTGCAGTCTGCTTGTTGTTTCAGCAGTGGCAGCAGAGAAAGTTAGCATAGCCATTCAGTCTGTGTTGGCCATGCTTCCGAGTAGAGGACTAACTTTTAACAGCCATCTCATTCGGCTCAGTATTTCTCATAGCGTTGAAGTGGTGCACTACATATCCATCCATCCATTTTCTTCCACCCTTGGCTAAATGTTAGCCATGACATATGTAGCAAGCCTTACTAAACTTTAGAAATAGGTACTCAAATAAAATCTTCGTGTCAATTTGTATTTAGTAGAAGGAAGACATAATTCTATTTGATCTTTAGATGAGCCGATAAAATCACAAAAGGCATAAGTAACAAGCTAATGTCCTACTGTTAATAAACAGGAATGAACCGGGCAGGATGTTCAAAGGTTACAGAGGTTCTTTGATACAAAAGCTCTATCCCATTCCACGACCTTTTACCTTCACTGGACTGGGCTCAGTGTAATGTTTTAGAGGAAACGTCCTAAAACCACCTACATATATCCTTTTTCCTATTGTTAAGAAATGTGGATTCAATGATAAAAACAGGCTTTTGTTAGGCACAAACTAATCTAAGTGTAAAGCATTGTTGTCAGAGGACCAAAGCTGAATGGGAAGAAATGTTGGCCATGATGTGGTTTTTTAACAGCTCTGGCTAAAAAAGAAAGCATGGATTCCCCAGAGACTTACTGACCCCAATGAGTCCACGAACTGGTCACCACCTACTTTCATCTTTCGACTCACTTTACAGTCATTATAATCCCCCTTCATGGCCCCTCTCTGGGTAAGGTTACTCTTACCCCCCTAATTCCCTTGATGCATTTGACAAACAGCCCTCCGCCAGAAGACACGAGGAAAACAGGGTGGTTTTTGTTTGAAGTTTGCATACAGTGCCTTGTTGCAAAAGTATCCATACCCCTTGAACTTTTTCACATTTTGTCATGTTACAAATACCAACTCAAATGTAGCTCTTTGTTATTTTATTTGATGGACCACCAAAATGTACTGCAAGATTGTACACTACATAGATAAACTATACATACTTTTCAAAATTTGTATTAATGCAAATTTGAGAAATGTTTCTGGGTTTTCCTTCACTTTCCTTTACATAGATGATCAATAAAATTCAGCCAATTGCTTTCTGAAGTCAGTCATAGTCTGTTTATATAAATTGTATTTTCAGTTGTTTAGAGAACAACTAAGTTTTTTGGAGTTTGAATTCAAAGGCCTCAGATGTTTGCTAAGTAACTTTTGAACAAACAGCATCATGAAGATTAAGGAACACACCAGACAGACAAACTCATAAAATGTTGTTAGCTTATATTCACATATGCCAATGAGTGATACGACTTTTAATGTGCACTTTTTGTGTAATGCAGCATGGTTTTATTTCATTTAGCATGATTTAACTTCAAAATTTTAGTGGTATATTTGTGGCTTCACTACAATCACAAAATGACCCACACCTGTGTACTCTAAACAACCAATCAGAAAGCTGATATATTTTTTTAAGGCTGTGGTACAAGAAGGATAAAGGACAAAAATTTTCCAAACATTTGACCCCCACCCCCCACCTCCCCCTCAGAGTTTTGCATTGTGATTCTTTATTTTAACTCATTATTGTCTAAATGGTTCTGTTCATTTCAGGTTGTGTGTAGGTATTCTTATAGTGTCATAAGACATTGCCATCTTAAGTCATGACACATAAATCCTATGAGGATATACCTACTTTTTAAAATATCTATTTGAGGACTATATTGTGTTATGTGAACTTTTAGTCTACAAACTATACTTCTTTTGTGAAGCTTCCTATAGCAATCAACCCCTGTGCCCCCTGAATCCCAAGAATGTAAAACCGCTAAATATACACAGAACATGGAAAAATTAGGGAATGTGGGGAACCCACAGCATTCCTCTTTTCATGTGTGTAAGCAGAGACAGGCTTGTCCCCTCTATAGTTCTTTTGTTTCCAGTTGTGCCTGTGTGCTGTATCATTATCAACATCCACATCTGGATGGACTTAGTGAAGAAATCCTATAAAGAACCTAATGGGCTCTTCAAACATTTTTGAAGACTGATTAAGAGCCGTTTCAGATCTTGTTCACAACAATAGGTTCCATATGGGATTTATTTTTGTTCTCACTGATTTTGTTATCTACCCCACTTGCTCCTTTTTACTATTGTGGAAGCGTAGGGGATTTAGGAGGAACTTGACTCCCCATACAGTCAATAAAAAGGTCACAGAAAAAGACCCACATCTGTTAGGCCAAGATAAACAATATCACTACTCGTTTCCACCTTCGATGCAACAAGAACCCTGTATTATTTAAAATAAAAATAAAAATTTAATCTGCTAGAGGAAAAACTGTTGAAAAAAAAGGAGAAGTAGTGTAAAATCCTGGCTGCAAAAGTAGGCACACCCTTAAACTAATATGTTGTTCAACTCACTTTTGATTAATTCAGTTTTCCTGGGTACATGCCTTCCATCTGTTACCACAAAGACACTATAAATATTGTATGTATGTATCAAGAAAATATTGCGGTAGAGTTCAATATTGGTTGTCACTCATTTTTGAAAGTGAAACTCAATATAAAATTATACACAAGTATTGCTCAAATATGTCTCCAGCCTTTAATTCTTGTCAGGTTCATGATAATGGCTGAGAGAAAACAAAAGCCCAAGGTTCTGTTCCTCAGAAAATGTAAATATTGTTAAAGAATTAAATACTGGAAAACATATGGTGTTGCACCCTAACCAGCTGATTAACTGCTATGGTTACCTGAGACTTACTGGTCTGGTTCAGTAGGCTACACAATCATGGAAAAGACTGTGAAAACAGTGATGTGAGGCTCCAACCAAAAGACTACTGAATGGGGAAGTTTTTTTCAAAAGGTGCATCAACAAAGTTTTTGTTCAAGGGTGTGCTTGACGGACATTTTATTTTTCATTTTTGACCTGCTAACAGATTTTTTGTAGTTTTTCAGGTGAATTTTACAAAAATATTTATTACATTAAAGTATACAAAGCTTTCAAATGAGTTTTATGGTCTCTTTACTTCACAAAAATTTGGTATTTTAACAAGGGTGTGTATATTTTTTTACATCTGCTGTTTATAATCTGAATCCAGGGCAATTTTACAAGCATTCCTGAAAATGTCCACTGGAAGCTTGAAATGTTCTATCATAGTTAAGCTTATTGTAAATGTATTTTAAGAAATATCTTCAACTTTATAATTCCTGCAACATTTAATAATTTCATGTTTAAATCAAAGCAATTATTAAGAGTCAAGTAAATTATATTTTTACCAGGTGTGTTCCTGATGTGTTATCCAGCACAGTGACCCTCAGCTATTAACAGGGAAAAGAACGCCACAAACACATGTTAAAAGTTAGGCTGACTTTAACCATAAACTTAACACCTGCCACTTCAAACCTCTCAGAAGTAAAAAGAAAAAAAGATGGCAGGTAATAAATGACAACAAGAAACACTAGTACTAATACACACAAACCTTGTACAGTAGGTTGGGTAGCTGTTATCACCTCAAAGATGTTTTCGTCTTTCAAATATCTTTTTAGCTTAATTGCATAAGACATATGCAAGGTAGGTTCATATCAGATAGCCTAATTTGGTTCAAATGTTTACAGTTGCTTTTCTTGGCAAAATACAAGTAATTCCTTCGTACAAAACTGGTAACGAACAGCGTTTAAAAAAGTTCCCAGCTGACACAATTTTGGAAAAATTTGAACAACTACTACATTTTCTCGGGCTCAGAGAAAACTGTTGCTGGCAATAGATGGATACAATTTGCCATAAGTATTATTTTGATAACATTATTTAGTCAAAAATCAATTTTTGGTACTTACCATTCTTTAGGATTGAATATGAATTTAGGTATGAATGACATGAAGGCGTTGCAATTTAGGGGTCTGTTGAGTAAAGTTACATACCTTCATGCCTGAATTATAACATCATTCAAAAATTAAACTGGAGAGATTATTTTTCAAGATAAAGCACTTTCTAGTAATATAGAAAGACGACATTTGAATGTTTAGTCATCTTGGTTTGATGGGTCAAATAATACTGTTTCACATATATACTGTGTATGTATTTAAATTTGTTTGACTGATTATATTTTATTTTCGGATACTGATGTAAAAGAAAAATTCTAATTAATTGTGTGTTATATATTTTTTAAGCTCAAAATTAAATTAATTAGTGTAATCAAACACGCAACTGTTCTCACGAGACGAAGTGGGCAATTACCAAAAACTTGCCACAAGATGTCGCCAAATTGGACTTTTCTATACTGCAAGCGTTTCCTGTTGGTCGTATTCTTTGCGGTAATGTTGACGGATGAATCTTCTATTAAACTGACATCAGTTTATATATATATATATATATATATATATATATATATATATATATATATATATATATATATATATATATATATATATATATATATATATATGTTTATTTTCGATTAACTATTTAGTTATTATTATTATTATTATTATTATTATTATTATTATAATAATATTATTTTAGACCTTCAGCTAATGTTTTGATAGCTATAATAATTCCAAATTCATGTTTTTGTCTGCCTCTATCTCTCAGTGCATTCCATATGAACAATTTAAAAGCCATATGAAGAAAAAAAAACATTAAAAATGGTTAATATTTAAAATGACTAATCTATACAAAAACAAAAAATAGATATCTAATTTGTAATCCCGACGACAGCGTAAATTTTAAAAGCATATAAAAGAAGAGGGGAATTCCTACATTTTCCGTCACCACTGCAAAGCCCCCTTTGCCCCGGAAATGACGCCTGTTTGACAACAGGAACAACCAAACTTTAGCCTGTTAGCATAACAACCCGATTCGTTAGAAATAAAAAAGAAATCTCCGACGCACCTTATTAAGATCTTTATCCTTAGATTCTGTTATGGAACTTTAGGCAGTGTGTATAAAGAGGTAAGGCTGTTTTAAACTTACCCTGGTTTACGAATGGAGAAGTAAACTGAGCTATATTAATGAACCGCTATGATACAAAATTGACTTCAGTTGCTGCCAATACCGAGAAAAACGGAGTATATATATTATAGTTTTCCTTTCGAAAACATTATACATAGAAATAAAAAGAAAAGATATATATATCCTAAATATTTCATTTTGACCACAAGGAGCAAATACATTCCCAGTAAATAATAAATAATGTGCCCCTGTGTGCTCTTTCAGTGTTGAGGAATGGTCTGATTGCAGCAACAAACATGCACAGCCGTTTGCAGGAGCTGAAGAAGGAAGAGGAGACTCTCCTCAAAATCAAAGTCATGCTACAAGACCAGCTGAACCGCTTGAAGGTGATTGTGAGCTCATAAATATAAAGATGTTTGAGCACATATTCGTGTTTCACATGTAATTTGCACATATTTTAGTTTGAAGAAGGGGCCTTGAAGTCTATCATCAGCGCTCAAACAGAAGGAGCTTCACATGACCCCTCGCCAGAAAATGAGGTAAAACGAACATGAATCACTTCAGTTTAGCATCAAATGGCTACATGTTGTGACATTTTGAATAATGTGTACTTATTTTATGTTTATATTACCTCATTAAAAGTAGCTATTGGATCACTTTGAGTTAATCAAGTGGGAAATAGAGTATTTTGCATTACATTTAATTAACTTTATAATGTCTACCACATCTAAGTTCAAGCCCACAATAGCTTTCTTCCAGTATTATAGTAGTAGTTTTGAGTGAATAATTTCAGTCTGTGGATGATTGAACAAAATAGTTAGATGTAATTTAAATGAAAAGCTGTTTTAATTAGTAATAAATTAGATTTAATTTAGAGGTGCCAGAGTAAAGCAGGCTAAATGAATGTTTAGGATTTTTGCTAAAAACTTTGAAAACTCAGTGTTATTCCATTCTACTCTTTGTTGCTCTATCACATTCTGAATTAAATAAAATGCTTACATTTTGGGACTAACATGTGAGGTCTCGAGCATACAAACCGTTTTGGAATGATCTGTATCTACAGGTTGGAAATGATCTTGATCATTACTGTAACTGGACGATGAGCTTTTCTTGCTTTGTCTTTGCCTCTGGACTGAAATCAAGTTTATTCATATTATTCCAGGTTCAGATTAATCTTGACGATGAGACCGAAATCAATCGCACCAAACTCTTGCTGAATAGTGCTGAGGATTATGACATGGAGGAAGAAGACGAAGATGATGACGACGAGGAGAATGAATATGATGAAGAGGATGATGACAATGAGTTTGAATTTGTGCCTGAAGCAGATGAGGAGGATGATGATTACTAAGAATTATGGGTTGTGTGTGTATCTGGCCACTTAACGAGAACACCTTTTAGTTGTATTATTAGTTGGTAGCTTTAATTTATTCAGATGGAGTAACCGTTACATTGTAATAGTCAGTGGTGCTAGCAGTGCCCATTTCTAGCCTAATTTAGAGCATATTGTCTACATTTCTCCCTATAATTTAACTTAAAGTTTGTGAGGAATGTGTCACTGACATGCTATAAGACAGTATCATTAGGTGCTTACTGAGTAGCTTTCTAGGCATTTTTCTTTTTTTTTTTTTTGGTGACGTATTCACTTGAAAATCCAAAATCCTGGTTGTTATGCGTGTCATGAAATGTTATGGCTGGGCCATAAAAGAGAATAAAATGTACGTGTTGTTTTAAAAGAAATGAGAATTTTAAGCACAAAAATAAATGTTTTGCTTTGTTTATTGTGTGTCTGATTTCAATATTGTTCACTTGTAATTATAACGAAACATGTTTTACTTGACATTTGTATATTGCAGATGCATTTTAGTATATTAGAATATAATTGGAAAATTCATTTTTGTGATTCTATTTTTAAAAATGCATAATTACAAGCAATCTTTTTTTTCTTCAGGTGAATTACTAATAGTAACTTTTTGATTACATTGATATATGTATATACAGATTCAGCGGTATCATGCTTTTATTGTCACAAATGTTCCTTGCACCACCACACTGCTAAAGTAGCATATCACTTGATTCAAATTTTGGACATATAAGGACCATATTAGAAGCAATTTTTCACCAGCTTGTGGCCGGAGTCATGTCCGGTGTGTCTAATTTAGCTAATTTGCCAGGAATCATATGTGCCATATTCCAATTAAAAATTTCAAATTCATTTAAAATCTGGTAAAACACAACTACTGTTCATGTAATCACAAATGAATTTAGGTACAAATTGAGGGCTTCGTTTGCATTGAAGCTTATGCGTATCCCTTGTCCTCATCTGACTCAGATAATTGGGGAATGCAGTGCAAACACTTTCAACTGAATAAACCATTCAGCATTTTCTAAACAGGTAAAACAATACACTGAGTCTCACAATGCTGTGAGCGTTCACACTGCCTGCAGGGAACAGCTCTGGAGAAGAGCGGTGCCACACCAGGCAGTGGAGACTTCTTCGTTAGATGTGTCCAGTTTTCTACATCTTCTGCTGCTTTGGGAGAGTTCTCACTCCCAAACGAAGTTTTGCAGGCCTCAAGTCAATGCAGTCTTTATAGGGTTTACAGGTAAATAGGCATAGATGGTTTGGAGTTGTAACATTTTTATCTGGGAAAGTTGTAAAAGATCATGCCTGAATTGAATAATGGGTATTTATTGCCAAAACAAACAAAAAAATAAATAAAAATGATCAGATTCATTATATTAGGCTACATTTCTAATTGGATATTTCAAGAGTTATTTTCACTATTTAATTTTAAATGTTGGCAGGTTTTTAAAAGTAACATTTAATCTCCATCCAAAACACAATGATGTCCATATTATTTTGTGTAGAAACATTCTTGCATTGTCATGTGAGTGTTCACTGTAAATGTATCAGCCTCTCAAACATTAGCTTTGCTTACAGAGGTGAAACCACAGTTTGTATAGGATCTGTCTGCCTCAGCACGATGAGCTCACACTCCATTGAGTTTGAAAAGAGGCATTTGGCTTTGCATTAGGGGACCGAGACCCCCCACGGACCATCACACTGGATGCTTCTAGACTGCTTGATGACTCTTTATGGACTTTTAAGTTTCTCTCTGGTACAAATATCCTTCATTTTCAAGAAAGTCTGTATTTGTTGGCTTGGTTGTGACGTGTTTGCCTATTCGTATGATTAAATGTGGTTACTGAATGGGCTCTCATCCCTGCTTATACATCAGGGAAGATCTCATCAGTTTGTGCTGCAGGAGAACCATGCAGCCCCGCTGTGGCGTCAGTGTGTGCCATGTGCTTATGTTGGTGCTGTGTCTGTCTGCGGCTGAGGACTTCGACTGGACAAAGAACAACCACGGCTCCTTCTATTATGGCACTTTTCCAACTGGTATTCACTTATTTTCTGCAAAGTCCTTTGTTCGTTTTGCCAAACACGACCAAGCTGATCGATTGTTGCGTTTGTTAGGATTTTCATGGGGTGCCGGAGGTTCAGCCTATCAAACAGAAGGAGCCTGGGACAAAGATGGAAAAGGACTGAGCATCTGGGATGTGTTCAGTCACAAAAAGGGCAAAATCCAACTTAATGACACGGGGGATTCCTCCTGTGAAAGCTACTACAAGATCAAGGTGAGGATTCAGAAAGATTTCAGAAGTGTAGGAGCTTGTGTTGTGTGAAGGTACAAGTCAATCTAAATATCTCATTGCACTGCATGTATTTTGTTCAGGATGATATTTCTCTAATGAAGGAGATAAGGCTGAACCACTATCGTTTCTCTATCTCATGGCCCAGAATTATTCCCACTGGTGTAAAGTGTAAGTAGTGCCTTACAAAAA